CAGAGGCTGGGAAGGGTAGTGGGGGGAGGGGAAGGGAAGTGGAGATGGTTAATGCATACAAAGAAATAGAAAGAATGAATAAGACCTAGTGTTTGCTAGCACAAGTGGGTAACTATAGTCAAAAATAATTTAATTGTACATTTTAAAACAACTGAAAGAGTACAACTGAATTTCATGTAATACAAAGAAGAAATGTTTGAGGAGATGGGCACGCCATTTTCCATGATGTGATTATTACACATTGCATACCTGTATCAAAATATCTCATGCAATAAGTAAAAAAGAAAAAAAAAAAAACAACTCATGCAACCCATAAATATATATACCCACTGTGTATCCACAAAAATAAAACAACTCATCAGTCCAGGTGCAGTGGCTCATGCCTGTAATTCCAGAACATTGGGAGGCTAAGGCAGGAGGATTACTTGAGCCCAGGAGGTCAAGGCTGCAGTGAGTTAGCCTGGGTGACAGAGCAAAACCGTGTCTCAAGAAAACAAGAAAAGAGAAACCTGATCAGACCTTTTTTAATCTATTCTTTTTTTTTTTTTTTTTTTTTTTTGAGAAACCAGTTCTGAAAGACCTCCTTCCTTCTACCTTGTTTTAAAAACCAACCAACCAACCAACCAAACTGACTTCTATAAGTAATGCTGGGAGTGCTGCCATCTCAGGAGACCAGGAAGTCTGTGCACACTTTTTACCATCTAGGGCCGGACACCCCAACTCCCGGCCGGGGACCAGTACTGGTCTGTGGCCTGTTAGGAACTGGCCCATACAGCAGGAGGTGAGCAGCAGGCCAGCGAGCATTACCGCCTGAGCCCCACCTCCTGTCAGATCAGCGGCGGCATTAGATTCTCACAGGAGCACAAACCCTATTGTAAACTGCACATGCGAGGGATCTGGGTTGTGCGCTCCTTTTGGGAATCTTAATGCCTGATGACCTGAGGTGGAACAGCGTCATCCCAAAACCACCCCCACAACCCCATCCATAGAAAAATTATCTTCCATGAATCCTGGTGCCACAAAAGGTTGGCTGGTCTAAGGGACCCTGTGCTACGTGCATGAGCTGTGAACTGACTCTGTTGATTTTCCGGATCTGTCCCGAGTGCCATGCTAGCTTCATGGTTCCATGCATGGTACTTTACGCTGTGCCTCATTCTGAGTAGGCATTTTGTGAAATTTCTTATGCATTTTATGTTGAGGAACTTTCACTGAAATGCTTGTATCCTTGGATGTCTCCTTTCTTCGCTCCCCTGCTGTAAGCTTTTCCTTTCAGAAGAGACACATAGCCTTGTGTCTATTGTCAAAAAGTAGCCTCTTTTATTGTTGTCATACTTTTCTTGGTTTGAGAATACTGGGGCCAGGCAAGGTGCCTCACGCCTGTAATCTCCGTCCTTTGGGAGGCCGCAGTGGGCAGATCACCTCAGGTCAGGAGTTCAAGACCAGCCTGACCAACATGGTGAAACCCCGCCTCTACTAAAAATACAAAAATTAGCCCGGCACGGTGCCGGGTGCCTGTAGTCCCAGCTACTCAGAAGGCTGAGGCAGCAGAATCTCTTGGATCCAGGAGGCGCAGTGAACCGAGGCTACACCATTGCACTCCAGCCTGGGTGACAAGAGTGAAACTCCGTCTCAAAAAAAAAATTACTGGGAGGATAAAGTTTGGAAGGAAATAATTTTTCCATAAAAAGGACATTTTCAGTCCCCCACACTATATTTCAAAACTGCTATTGAAGCAGTCCACTCAAAAGTGGCTTGAAGTCCAGGTATATGAATGGGCAGGGGTATTTCTCTGGAGAGAACACCATTTTCCATAAGACACTTGAGTCTGGGATCTTGGTCATGCAGAATTCATCCAGAGTCCACCACTGACTGTCTCATCCTGTGATGGTCTCCAGGTAGTTGAACCATCTTGTATAACTTTATTTTCTCCAAAGGTGAGAGGAAAGGCTTTGTTCATAAAATTGCTTTCTAGGTGTCCACAGAAAGGCTGCCAAATGAGAAACAGAAAGTAAAAGCCTGAAGAGAAAGGATATGTTAATACCCAGCACAACTATCCACATATGCATGTATTATACACCCTCCCTAGAAAGGAAGTTCACAGGCCTAAACAGAGCCATGGCTCAGAGACTACCCAGAGCATAGTGTTGGCTTAGGAAATACTCTATGTGTTTAGTGTGTGTTATTTTCCTCTCTGGAAAATCCTTTATATTTATCAAAACCATCCCTCTTGACTGAATATTGGAGAGCAAAAATCAAAAGATGCCTTAATTCCCCCATGGGTGGGCCCCATGCTCTTAAAGTAAGTCCTGTGCTACTTGAAACAGTAGCAGGAGGCACCCGTTTACACCATCTCCCCACTATAACTTTTATGCCTTTATAAAGTGTTAAAAAAAAAAAAAAAAAACTGTTAGAAATAGCAGCCATGTTGCGTCTTAGAAAATGAGTTTTCCAGAAAACACCTGTCTGAGCTAGGCAATGTGTGTTTCTTTCTGTGGTTGGCAGCAATAAGCCCAAATATGGATTCTGATGCTTAGGAGGAAGAATGTGGTAGAAACATAACAGATTTGCAAAGTTTATCTTGTAGCATGAATTACACTTCCTCACAAGCATGCTTCCTCTGACCTTGACCTAGCCTCTCAGAATGTGGGGATGATAAAGGCATGCCTCGTCAGCAAAGGCATTCCACGTCATGGGCAAGAGAGGAGAAAGAATAGGAAGCCCAGGAAAGCACAGAGTGGTAGAGAGTGTCCTCTGAGGTCAGAAACAGCCTTAATCTCAAGTGCCAGCAGCTGGGAGTCCCTGGGGTCCGAGCTGCATTTCCTCTGAGAAGGAAACCTGGGATCAGTGATCCAAGAGATAACAAGAGCCGGGAAGAGATTCCAGGCAGAAAGAGGAGCCGGCACAAAGGCCTTGAGAAGAAATATTAGCATATTTGAGTCTTAAACTGAAAATGTGTGATGAAAGGAATGTAAGCTATTATTGCCGTCTGTCCAGAATTATCACAGGCACCAATTAGGCAGGGGCACCATTGCCCTGTGCAACCTGCTCCCACGAGTATTATCCTAGAGAAAGACAGTGGCATGTGTCCTTGGTAGGACGACATGTATAGTTGGTTCATGCCCTGGTCTCCAGTGCGATACCAAAGGATGGGGTCAGGATGTATCAGGCTTCATGGAAGCAAAGGAAGCCCCAGGCAATTCCCATGTATTGCCAAGACCCTCACCAGTGGAGGCCTTGTCAGGATAAGGGAGAGAAAGTCTCTGCAAGGTTCATTACGGTAAAAACAAAACAAAACAAAAAACGCAGCATTAATTTTGTAGGAAAAAATGTGAATTGCCATAAAGATCCATTTCCAGTTGCACAATAAATATACTTCAGTTTATAATTTTAGGTTAGATCAAGCCAAGCAAAACTGTACTCTTAGAAACCTGTCACCTTGAAAGTCTGTAGTCTTTTCCTTCTCACTTCTCTCCTCCTCGAACTTTCTGCCTCACCCAATTAGATTCCCAGCACCTACTCATTTTCACTAACTCCCCCAGTCACATCTAGAAAGGTTCTGCTATTAGTCATTTATGTGTAGCTTAATTTGTTTTGATTAATGTCATTATACCATATATGAAAGTTATTCATGCTAATGTGTGACTTCCACTCAGCATTTTCATTTTTAAGCTTTTTATCTCTAGTTAGGGAATAGGAGGATTTACCTCTCCAGAAAGTTTATATTATCAGGCAAGATGCAGACATTTGAGAGGAGCAGAGAAGGCTCCTAAAATCACCTTAGTCCCAACCAGCTGGCCCTGTGGGAGCCCTGGATCCTGGAGGCAGGGCCACTCAAGGTTCCCTTCTCCCTTGGCTGTCATAAATCAGTCTAATCCTGATAGTAGTTTCTGGGAACAAAGGAGGGCCCTGGCTTCGCTCAAGGCCTGGAGACCTAGTGCCTGGGCCCTGGATGTGCTCGCACGTGGGCCACGCCCTCCAACTTCACACCCACGCATGCCCATGATGATTCTGTCCATGTTTGACAAACTGTAATGTGCTTGTCTCTCCTTGATTATATCAGCCTCTGACAAAATAGGCATGTATAGTAGACTGGATAATCTTAAAAAAAAAAATTTAAATGTGAACCAGTCCATGGCTTTTTTGCAGTGTCATAATGAAAGAGACAGACAGGGATTCAAATCCCATCTCTGACACTTACTAGCTAAGTAGCCTTGGGCAAGTCATAATTTGCCTCTGTCTCTTACTCTGCAAAATGGAAAACCAACCTGATCAGGTTGCTATAGGAATGAGGAGATCGTACATCAAAAGCTTCGGTCACAGCACCTCATGCAGAGAGAGCACCCATCTGCATTAGCCAGGAGTGTTCATTATGACTGCTGTGTGCCAGGCATGGTTTAAGCCTCTGGATGTACAGGAGGAGCCACACAGATGTGGCATCCAGTCTCCTGGAGCGCTCACCTTCATGCGGGAGGCATAAATTAACCAAATAAACCCCAACATGAATATAACTACAAATCAGAGTACATGCTCTGAAGGAAAAATATTACTTGCTATGAGAGAAACTAACAAGGGAGCAGTTTTTGATTTTTCGTCCAAGAAGGCCTATCTGGGAGTGTCACTGAAGGTGAGACACCCAAGGGGGAGCCAGCCGAGTGATGAGTTTAGGGAGCAGCACACCAGTAGAGGGAAGAGCAGGGGCAGAGGCTCCGAGGAAGGAAAGGGCATGGTGGGCACGAAGAAGAGGCCATTCTTGAAGAAATGCAGCAAGCCAAAGTGAGAGTGAAGAGGCAAGGTTGAAGAACAGCCAAGGACCAGATCCCAAGGGCCTCATGACCCAGATGCATAGAATTTCAAAGGTGAAAGTTGATACACCATTGTTATAATAGCTGCTTAGCAGGAGCTTTGTAAAACTCTTTGCGTCGTTAAATGCCCTGAAGAAATCGGGAGATTATTATTGAGACAAGACCATTTGATTTTGCCTAGAGAGCACCCCTGGTGACCTTCCACAATGCTATTTTTAGACAGTGGTAGAAAGAGTACGCAGGTTTTCACCAGGGTGTTGACAAGGGAATGCTGGGAAAGGGAAGCAGCGGGAGGCAGCTCTGGAACGGGCATCCCAGACTGGGGATTTTTGCAGTCATGGCGGTCCATGCCTGAGCCTTCGAACAGCTGGTAAATAGATGATCAGTAACTTTGCAGCACTGGGCACCTTCAGAGCGGAGCTCTTGCCGCCTTGCTCAGGTAGAAAGCCAGTGTGGTCCCACCCAAGTCTGATTCTCTTCTCCCCAATGTCCCCACAGGTATGCCATTCTGACCAAAGCCACCTGGCCCTCTTGGCAGGGAGATGAGAAGCAAGGCGTCCTGCACCTGCTGCAGTCGGTCAACATGGACAGCGACCAGTTCCAGCTGGGGAGGAGTAAAGTGTTCATCAAAGCCCCCGAGTCTGTGAGTGCTTGGCTGGCTCTCCACTCTCTTCCCTCTCGCAGAGCCCCCGCCAGCCCTGCTCCACCCCTTGCCTGGCTTCTTTTTCTCATTCTTCACTTCACGCCATCAATGCTGTCTCCTCAAAGAAGCCTTCCCTCCCTTCCTGGTCTAAGTGGGTCCTTCCCTAAACACGTGCTCTCCGTAGCCCATCACCGCCCCGTTCATTTCCTGCAGAGCACTGAGCAGGTAGAAAAAGGGGCGTCAGAGAGTGGCTCCTTCCTCGCTGACTGTCTCGCTGCTCTCTAGCTGCTACACTCCTTGAGGGCAGGGACTTTTTGTTCCATACGTCTCTATATACCCAAAGTCTCACACAGAAAATGCTCAATAGTCTTAGTCTTAATACTCTTAGTCTCTAAGAGTATCTAAGCTAAAGAGGGACTCCACTGTCCCACCCATGGTTAGTTGACACCAAGTCAGTTACACATAGGCTCAGGATTCCTCCTGGAAGGTGCCGCAGAGTGCCGGGTGGGAATTCCCAGGATTGTACCTAGAAGGCCTTGCGGGAGCCTAGAAAGGACTGTGAGGGGGAAAATAGGTGGGAGGAGAAATTTCTGGTTTAGAGAACACAGTACTTACCAGTAAGGCATTCATAATACACATTCACAGTTCACAGACAGACCGCTACAGCTGCGTTTACAGACACTTCTTGCTTTCCTGATGAGAATGTGCTCAGTGAGCCCCATGCATGCCCACAGGAAGTTCTGTTCAGTTCTTCTGCCCAGTTTGCTCCAGGGCTGTAGAATAAAGACATTCATTCCTTTTGAAGCTGGAGAAACTGCTGGAACCAAGGTTCAGCATCATCGTTTCTCGAGGCTCCCTTAACCATCACAAGACCCCGTTTCGAGAGTCAGTGATGAACTTGGCAGAAATCAGTCATGAGACCAATGGGAAATCGTATGGGGACTCACAGTAAAAGGGAAGCATTTGATGTCAGGCACATCCCAGTCTTGCCTTTAGTTTTCTTCTCCTCTAGGGTGAGCCCATAGCCACTGTTCTGCCTGCCTCGTAGGATCAGCCCGAGACGCAGGAACGATAATGGCTATAACTGAATGGCTTTGTGAGACATCGAGATTATTAAATAAATAAGTGGCACACAGAGATGGAAGCCATTTATGAAACGTTTGTGGTAGCATTTTTCTACTTTGAGTTATTTGTAGCTTCACAAGAATTTTCATTTCCAAATATAAAGGGAAAATGTTATGTCATTCGCCATTAAGCAACCCACAGAACAGTTCCTGTTCTTTCTAAAATGGGATGGAGTGATTTATCGGTACAATTGAGAACTCCTTGTTTCATACCCGCTTTTACTTTTCAACTTGTGAGATTTTCATATATAATTAAAACAGCCTCAATATTTGTAATACTATTTTTTCTGATTCAGTTGCGTTGGAGGGGGTTATATTCAAAATCAAGATTTATTTTTGGCTGTCCTTTTCCTTGCCTTACACTCAATTGTGTTATTACCATTACTTGACTCTCCTTTCCCCCATCTTTGATATGTGCACTCACACGCGCACACCATCACCTCTGCTCTCTCCCCTGCCCCAAACGCATACATCCCCATCTAGCCCTGACATGCAAATACTTTCACAAAAGTTGGTTTTTAAAATCTGGCTGGGCACAGTGGCTCATGCCTGTAATCTCAACACGTTGGGAGGCTGAGTTGGAAAGATGACTTGAGGCCAGGAGTTCAAGACTGGGCAAGTCAGTTAGACCTCATCTCTACAAAAAAATTTAAAATTAGCTGGGTGTGGTGGTACGCGCCTGTTGTCCTAGCTACTCAGGAGGCTGAGGTCAGAGGATCACTTGAGCCCAGGAGTTCAAGGTTACAGTGTGCTATGATTGTACCACTGCAGTCCAGCCTGGGCAACAGATCAAGAAAGACCTTTTCTCTTAAAAAACAACCCCATGTGTCTGATGTGGGTTTTTTTTTTTTTTTTTTTGGAGACAGAGTCTCGCTTCTGTTGCCCAGGCTGGAGTCCAGTGGCGCAATCTCGCTCACTGCAAGCTCCGCCTCCCGGGTTCAAGCCCCTTTCCTGCCTCAGCCTCCCGAGTAGCTGGACTACAGGCACCCGCCACCATGCCCGGCTAATTTTTTTTTGTATTTTCAGTAGCAGAACAGGGTTTCACCGTGTTAGCCAGGATGGTCTTTGATCTCCTGACCTCTTGATTCGCCCGCCTCAGCCTCCACAAAGTGCTGGGATTACAGGCGTGAGCCACCGGTGCCCAGCCATGATGGGGGGTTGTAAAGCAAATA